CTGCGCTCGCCCGCGATGTCCCTCCTGCAGTGTCCCCGGCAATGTAATCCGGCGGATGCCGGCATCTGTCATCTGGGTTCCATACCCTGCGAGCGCCGGGACGTACGGGGGATGGAACGGTGGGCAATTGACAAAAAGTGACATTCACTAAAATCACTAAAATCACATAGTATAACATTCCTGTATCAAACCATTTCACATACATTTTGTCCCGAGTGCTTTGTCCTGTGTCCTGCCTGCATTTTTACTGTTCTTTCTGCCTGGAAACTGAGAAACGTCCATGGCGTCCAAAAAGCGTCCCTTTAGGTCAAAATCGGTTTTAGACCGGCTAGAGAACAGCGATAGTAAATCAGAACCACTTGCAGAATTGAGTGATAATGATTTGTGGGGGAAATTCCTCATCAGACACTGAAAACGATTTTGTGACTTTGCTCAGTGATGTGCGAACTTGGCGCTCTATTTCACATTTCAGTGTTTTTGGTTTGATTATATTATTGAATTACATTTATTATATTATTATTTTTTATGATTATTTATTAAATTATAATTTATGATTTCGTGTTTCAAATTTTATCATATCCGGGATGTTTACTAGACTCTTGTTCAGACAGATTTCAGTGAGTTATTCCTAAAAATTACAGGTCTACAATAAAAAAAATACATATTTCCATGCAAAAAAATGTACCGCTTTGAGCACAGAAATACTGACATAGGTGTCCTTTTATGACACAGAGAATAGCTGCGATTCAACGGATCTCAGCTATTCTCTGGTCATTCACAGTTTATAACACTCAGGAAATCATGTCAGCCCTTTTCTGGAGATCTGTGTTCTCCCTCTAGATTCTCCAGCCCAGAGCTGGAGAATCAGAGGGACTGAAAACTAAGCAGAGATAATTTACCTCTGTTTAGTAAACTGATCTTTTACTATAATCTCGAGAGATTATAGTAAAATGAGGCATTTTTCAGAGTTTGTAGACCGTTCTCCAGCGTTTGTAGACCGTTCTCCCTTCGTTCGGAGAACTGCTTCATAAACTGCATTCACAGGAGAACTGCCGGAGAGTGCCGGAGAACTGAGCAGCGATCTATTACCGCTGGTCCATAAACAGACACCATAATCAGACCGCTAAGGAGGTTAATGAAGCTGCTTTTTCTAACATTAATATCTGTTAGTCACTGTCTAGGCTCATACTGCTTTAGAGTTAACAATAGGTATGTCGGCAATGTTTTACATCCACCCACATGCAGCCACTTTTTCTTTGGTATGCATTGTGTGAGGAAATGGATAGAGCACATCTAATATGCCATTATAACTTTGGCTGTTTCTTTTATGTGACACATTGTGGAACGCATTTATCACTTTATAATCTTATGTTTCTCATTTTCAGAGTGTTTATTGAGAATTAACAATACCACACTGAGATTTCATCTCTAAGCCCAGATCCAAATTCTTTTCGTTCCTTGAATGAATTGTCCTGGGCCACCAGCAGGACTAGGGATCAACAAATGTAATGTTTGAATGGTTTAAAACTAAACAGATTATGAAGTTACGCCCACTTTCAGTAAGCTAAAAATGTCAGTCTGTAACAAATATTAGAAAAACATTGACGCAATGTTTTATTTTTAGCTAAAATAATTAAATCCCCTTATTTTATTTTTACTTTATTTTAGTATCAGTCTAACAATATTTTCTTTACAAATAAGGAGTCGGTATACACACGATGGATAGTTTCAAATTGTATTTTTGGTTGATTGAACTTTTTTTTTTAGCAACAGGAGTAATATTGTTGATACTCTACATATGTTTTATATCTCAAAGCTGTTAATTATTCACCAATACAAACCACTGGATCACAAATGCTAATGTAGCTTAAACATATTTCACCATAATATATTAGTAGGCATTCATCCTGTGTTGTACCAAATTGAATCAAATTATACCTCCATATTGTTCTTGAGCTTGTTCATGTAATAAATCCTAATATATAAAAATGATTAGTATTAGAGTTACCCATACAAGTAAGCAACATATGACATATCAGGCTTTGGCAGTTTATAAAAGGTGAATGAAAGAATATTTTGTTTGGTTGCAGAGACATTTTTGGGAATGGGCAGTGGGGAAGGCAAACTGGGCACTGACCCAAGGCCTCCGAGTGTCTGAAAACATCAAGGCCAAAGTTTGCTTGCTGAACTTTCCTAAAAAAATGCAGCAGCTGAAAAAAGCATAGATGTGAATGTGCTTAATAGAAAACCATGTTAAATGGACTGTAGTGCGTTTCTGCAAAAAACACCAAAAAAGCATAGGTGTGAACCAAGTCTAAACCAGAGTGTCCAAAGAGTGGCTGTCCATTGATTTTTGAATTCTTAGGACAAATGTTAATTCAGTTATCATATACCAAACTGGCATACAGCAGCAAAAGGAAAGATCAGAATACAGATTAATCAGTGAAATGTTGTTCCAGTTCATTCACCAGAACAGAGATGGGTTTTTGACCAAGTATTGTTGTAGCTGCAGGGCAGGTCCCAAACCTGACTAAGTCCTGACAAAAGGACCCTGGATTGGAAGACTCACTGCACAGAATTAAAGATTTAACAGTTCAGATATAATTATTTTAAATTATTATTTAGGTATTTGCCTGGCTCAGTTAGCCACCATTTTCTAAAAAGTAAAACATTTTAAAATATTCCAAATCTGAACTATGGCAATAGTCAATAGTAGTCTGGCTGTGGTTATACCTTTCCAAATCCATCATCATCCTCGGATCATATAATTGATACACTGTTCTACAGGCACCAGCAATCAAAAATACACTTAAAGTGATATTAAAGGTATATATATATATATATACAGATACAGTGTTAAGCAAAAATGAGTATGTTCCAACCTTTACTTTCCTTTCAGAAACAACATTTTCTATGGGACTCTATACTACAAAATACTCCCACAAATGCGGGCCATTGATTGCAAGATTTGTTAATTTGCACACACAAAAAAGTATTTTTCCTAACAAATTAACCCTTTGAGGACCAAGGGACGTATTTGTCCCATGTTTTTAATTGCGTGTATCATCTGATTAAGAACTTAAAACTCTTTTTTTTTTTTTTTTGGTTTGAGTCAAAATATTAGTTCTTATCAACAACAACAAATGGATCTAGCTTTTTGCGAATTATTTCATGAAATGGCTTAGTTACAGCAACTGAAGTGTACGAACTTTAAAAACCAAAAAAATTGATTCTTTTGGCGTTCCGTAATCTTATGGTCCTCAAGACCATGCTGCAAAAATGAATACACCTCAATAATCCCAATTAACAAGAATTCTCCTACAGGTGAGTCTATTTATTCATTAAACAGGTGTTCAGCAGACAGTTGATTATAAAAGGGTGTTACTTAACAAAGAAAACTCCTTTCCATTTTATGCTGTCAGCAATGGCACCCCATGGAAAAGAAATGTCACAAAGCCTGAGAAAGAAAATATTTTCTTTAGACAAGAAAGGTGAAGGCTACAAGAACAGTAAAGCTTTACTTCAGTCAGTCAAGAATACTGTATTCTACAATCAGTCAGAATACTGTAGCAAAAGTGATACAAAAATTTAACAAAGATGGAACTGCAACCATCTCTCACAGAGATGTCCAGGCCGTCCATGGAAGTTATCACCTCGACAGGAGCATCTTCTGATGATAAGGGTTGAAGAAAATTGCCATGGAGGTTCACTGCAGTTAGCTAGAAGTAGAAAGTCAGATTGGGGTGATTGTTTTCCCGTAACACAGCTTACACTGCAGAGGAATAGCATGCATGGGTGTCATCCACAAAGGAAGCCTCTCCTAAAGCCCATGCACAAAAAAGCCCGCTTAGAATTTGCCAGGGCCCATGCTGAAAAAGAAGAAGACTCCTTGGACTCTGTACTCTGGTGTGATGAGACCGAGATAAATGATTTTGGAACTGATGGCTTCAAAACCTATGGTGTTGTAAGGGTGCGGAATACAAAGAAAAATGCATGGTGCCTACAGTGAAACATGGTGGTGGCAGTGTCCTTCTGTGGGGCTGCATGAGTGCTGCTGCGTAAAGGAGCTGAATTTCAATTGATGGTATCATAAATTCACAGATGTACTGCTCTATATTGAAAGAGAAGATGCTACCATCACTCCATGCCCTTTGTCGTCGTGCACTTTTCCTACATGACAATGATCCAAAACACACATCTAAGGCCAATGTTGCATTTCTGAATAAGAACCGGGTGAAAATGATTCAGTGGCCAGGTATGTCTCCTGATCTGCACCCAATCAAACACCTATGGGGAATTCTGAATTATGTCAAAATTTTGAGAAAGTTCTTGTGTCCATTGAGATATTGATTAAAATCTTAGTATTCAAAAGGGGTGTACTCATTTATGCTGAGCACTCTGTGTGTATATATATATATATATATATTTTTTTTTTTAATAACAAACATAATATACTTAACAATGGTTTTGCACAGAGCAGCCCCGATCCTCCTTCTCTTGGGTCCCCCACAGGCACTTCGGGCTCCTCCTCCCAAGCTGCTTACTCTGGGGCAATCGTGCTTGCTTGCTCCCAAGCTGCAGGTCTTTCCTCCTCACTGGCTGTGATTTACAGAAGTACAAAAGTGGTAGCACATGGCTCCCACTGTTGTGTCTCAGCCAATGAGGAGGGAGTGACCCGGCTGTTCTTGTGCACATCACTGTATCGAGATCAGTCCTGGGGGGAGCTGAGGGGGGGGAGCTGCACACTGAAGGTGTTTTACCTTCATGCATACAGTAAATGAAGGTAAAAATCCTTCAGCCTTTAGAACCAATTTAAGCTTTTAACCACGTCCCGCCCCCCATATAGTACAATGACGGGCGCAAGGCGGTTCTCTTGTTCTGGGAGGACGTCATATGACATCCTCCCATTCTCACTGCGCATGCGCGGCTCAGGGAGCGCACAGCGCGGCGATCGGCGGTGCGCTGTGTCTCTCGGAAACAGCGGATCACTGATCACGGAAAGAGCCGAAGATGTCGGCTCGGTCATGTGATCAGCTGTGTCCAATCACAGCTGATCACATGTAAACAGGGAAATGCCGGTTATCGGCATTTCTCTCCTCTCGAGCTGTCACGGTGACAGAGAGAGGAGAGCCGGTAATCGGCTTTCCAGGGAGGGGACATCTACACTGATCATCAGGGCACTGATGATCAAGTGTGCCCTGATGATCAGTGTAGCCCCAGCAGTGCCACCTGTCAGTGCCTTGTGTCAGTGCTCATCAGTGCCTTATGTCAGTGCTCATCAGTGCCAGTGCCCATCAATGCCACATATCAGTGCCCATCTGAGCTGCCTTTCAGTGTCACCCATCAGTGCCAGTCAATGCCACCTATCAATGCCAAGCAGTGCCACCTATCAGTGCTGCCAATCATTGCCACCTATCAGTGCCAGTCAGTGCCGCTTATCAGTGCCAGTCAGTGCTGCCTATCAGTGCACATCAGTGCCGCCTAACAGTGCATGTCAGTGCCGCCTATTAGTGCCAGTCAGTGCCGCCTATTAGTGCCAGTCAGTGCTGCCTATCAGTGCCCATCAGTAATGCCTGTCAATGCCCATCAGTGCCACCTACCAGTGCCTCCTCATCAGTGTCCATCACTGCCCCCTACCAGTGTCCATCAGTGCAGGATATCAGTGCCCATCAGTGCAGCCTCATTAATGCACATCAGTGAAGGAGAAAAATCACAACATTTTATAACAAAAACTAAGAAAAAACTTTTTTTTTCAAAATTTTCAGTGGTTTTTTGGTTTGTTTAAGAAAAAATAAAAAACCCCGAGGTGATTAAATACCACCAAAATAAAGCTCTATCTGTCACAAAAAAATGATAAAAATTTCATATGGGTACAGTGTTGCATGACCGCGCAATTGTCATTCAAAGTGCGACAGCGCTGAAAGCTGGAAATTGGCTTGGGCAGGAAGGGGGTAGAAGTGCCCTGTAGGCAGGAAGGGGGTAGAAGTGTCCTCTAGGCAGGAAGGGGGTAGAAGTGTCCTCTAGGCAGGAAGGGGGTAGAAGTGCCCTGTAGGCAGGAAGGGGGTAGAAGTGCCCTGTAGGCAGGAAGGGGGTAGAAGTGCCCCCTGTAGAAGGGGGTAGCCCTGTAGGCAGGAAGGGGGTAGAAGTGCCCTGTAGGCAGGAAGGGGGGGTAGAAGGGGTTCCCTGTAGGCAGGAAGGGGGTAGAAGTGCCCGGTAGGCAGGAAGGGGGTAGAAGTGCCCTGTAGGCAGGAAGGGGGTAGAAGTGTCCTGTAGGCAGGAAGGGGGTAGAAGTGCCCTGTAGGCAGGAAGGGGGGTAGAAGTGCCCGGTAGGCAGGAAGGGGTAGAAGTGCCCTGTAGGCAGGAAAGGGGTAGAAGTGCCCGCTGGGCAGGAATGGGGTAGAAGTGCCCTGTAGGCAGGAAGGGGGTAGAAGTGCCCAGTAGGCAGGAAGGGGGTAGAAGTGCCCTGTAGGCAGGAAGGGGGTAGAAGTGCCCTGTAGGCAGGAAGGGGGGGGTAGAAGTGCCCAGTAGGCAGGAAGGGGGGTAGAAGTGTCCTGTAGGCAGGAATGGGGTAGAAGTGCCCAGTAGGCAGGAAGGGGGTAGAAGGGGGTGCCCGGTAGGCAGGAAGGGGGTAGAAGTGCCCGGTAGAAGTGCCCGGTAGGCAAGAAGGGGGTATAAGTGCCCAGTAGGCGAGGGGTTAATTTGTAATGAGATAGCTTCCAAGTGTCTAGTGTATATAGGAGAATACCAAGGGAACTAAAATGCATTTTGTTAATGGAACGACTTATGTTCCATTAATCCTAATTAGCACCTATTTCAGAAGGTGTATGGGTATGATGTGTCCCAGTATTTAGAGAACAGAAAAATGGAAGACTGTAATGTATTTTTGTTAAAATTCTTGCAATGTATATCAATGGCTTGGAAAGGATTATTTTCTTCCCCAAACAAAAGTGGAGTTTCAGTTTAATACTTCCTTATTGTACAGTTACATCACCACATTATTTAGTCTGTGCGGTTTTACGGAATACTTGTGTATTGTACTTTCATCTTGGCTGTATTGTACTTTAAATATACCCATACAAATCCTTTTGTGAAGGTGGTTAACCTACCTACATACCGGAAGCTTTCACCATGCTTTAAAGCATTACTACGTACAATGGACTATGACTAATGTTAAAGACATGGTTTTTCTACTTGTGTTTGACTAAAAATATTCCACTGATGACATTTTTCTAAGATGTGGTCCCTGAAACATACACACAGGAGTTCTCAAAACTGTTTCATCAGCTTGGTATTTGCAGTGGAGTACAAGTAATCATAACCACTTAATATTTTAGTGGTACAGTAAGTGTCTACAGGCATATTTTACCTTTTTTTTTCCATTACTTCATATCCTACATAACAAATATAACTGAAATCCTTTAGGTTTATTTTAAGAAATAGAACAACAAAGGCTAATGATTCTACTCTCCACTGATCTGTTCGCCCGTGAATAAAACAATTGTTCTTTGAGCTTCTTTTTTTTTTTTTTTTTTTTTTTTTTTATTTAGATTTTTATTTATTTTCCATATATATTGCACATTTCATCATTGTTCTCATACAAACAAGTTTGCATATCTTTAATAACATTTCTATCAATCTTTATTCCCAATTACCACCCCCACACTATCTAATTTCCCCCACCCAATTCTATTAATAATTAATAATTCTATTATCCCTCTTCATACGCGAATATAGGGTACGAATCCTTCAATCTTTCTCACATAGTTACTTCATATATTTCACCATGAATTCTTCCCATGTTCTCCACCTCTTATAGAACAGCCCCATCCTGTCTTCCTGCATATAGCACAGTCTCTCCATCTTATAAATTTGATTAGTTCTTTCCACCCAATCCTCTATCTTCGGCACCTCTGGTCTATGCCAAAACTTAGGTATCAACCCCTTCGCCGCATTTAGATAGCACCATATACCCGAATCCTTATAGTTATTTACTGATAACTCTGTACTATGTAGGAGACATACTGCTGGGTTCAGTCCTATCTTTATCCCCGAGATATTCTCAATTAATTGAACGATCATCTCCCAGAAACCTTGAATTTTTGGGCACTCCCCCACCATATATGATATAAGGTGCCTATTTTTCCACATCCCCTCCAGCACTCTAGTGAATTTTCCCCACATATCTTATACTCAATGTTCAGTGCAATATGCCATCTCGTTAAACACTTGTAATTTACCTCCACCTCTCTCATACTTATATTCTCGTGTATTAATCTGTATATTTTTCTTTGCTTATCCTCGTCAATCTCTATTCCCAAATCTCTTTCCCATTTACCTATATACATTGGTTTTGTGTAAGTGTCTAACTCAGTGTGGATTTTATAAATTTTTGCGGTGCCTCGCCTCCCATCACCTCGTGTTTCTAACAACCTCTCAAAGCCGTTCCAATCCTCTCTCGATCTGAACGGTCTTGGGAGGTTTCTGACAAAGTGTTTTAATTGATATTTCCATTCATCTATTTTAATAAAAAGTTCCCTTTTATCCCCTTTCAAATCACCAAGTGTTCTCAATTCCTGTCCAACCATTATGTCTCTCAGTTGGATATCTTCTTTTCTAATCCATTTCCCTATACTTTCCTCCTTGCCTGGGGGAAAATAATCCGTATTCCTCAGTGGTATTAGTTGTGAGTTAAAATCCCATTTCATAAATTTATGCAATTTGTCCCAAACATTAAAAACATTTCATGTAAAAACACTCGTGGTATCTTTTAACCCTCTATATTGTGCTGGTGCCCAAATAGTTCTCTTCAAGGTAACTCCGCTTTAGTTCATTCTCAATCTGAACCCACTTTTTCCCCCTCATAATTATATGTCCAATCATAGATTCTCGCTAAGACTACTGCTTTATAGTACCTTTTTAATATCTGGCACTCCCAAGCCTCCTCTCTCTTTATTTCTATTTAACAAGTCATATGATATTCTGGGTTTTTTATTTTTCCATATATATTTTGTTAACATCTTTTTTATTACTTTAAAAAAGGCCTCCGGAATTTTGATTGGAATCATCTGAAATTTATAGAGGATTTTTGGTACAATTATCATTTTTTTATCAGGTTTATACGGCCTATCCAGGATGGGTTACCTCCTTCGAATCTCCTTAGTTCCTTCTTAATCTCATTTAAGAGTGGATATAATTTAATTTTATACAGGTTTATATATGAGGCAGAAAGTTTCACCCCCCAAATACTTTATCTCTTTATTTTTCCATATAAAGGGGAATTCTTTTTGTATTTTTTCTTTTTTCACTGTTTGAAAAGGTTTACATTCAAGATCTCAGTTTTGGTTGGATTAATTTTCAAGTTTGATAACTCCCCATACTCTTTTAAGCTCTTCATTAGAATTGGGAGTGTTATCCTAGGATTTCCCACATAAAACAAAAGATCATCCGCATAGGCAGCTACTTTATGTTCGACTTCCCCAATCTGCACTCCTTTTATATCTAAGTTCTTCCTAATAGTTGCCAATAATGGTTCCAATGCCAATACATACAACAATGGAGATAATGGGCAACCCTGTCTAGTTCCATTTGACATTCTGATAGGTTCTGACCTCTCTCCATTAACCATTACTATCGCTGAGGGCTCTCTATACAGCTTTCCTATCCATTCTCTCTCATTTCTTACTCCTATTCCTAGAGTTTCCAGGGTATCCATCATAAAACTCCAATCTACTCTATCGAATGCCTTCTCAGCATCGATCGAAAGTACTATTACCGGGGTTTTCCCCTTTCTAGCTTTTTGGATAAGCAACAGAGTTCTTAGGCCATTATCTCTGCCCTCCCTCCCCGGGACAAAACCCACCTGGTCCCCCTGAATCCATTCTGGCATGAGATCTTTTAGTCTATTTGCTAGGACCTTAGCATATAGCTTGATGTCTATATTCAAAAGTGATATCGGTCTAAAGCTAGAGCACTGAGAGGGATCCTTCTCTTCCTTTTGTATCAGCACCACATGGGCCTGTAAAGATTCCCTTCTCACCTCCATCTCTCCTCCTAGGGCGTTCATATATCTCTTCAGTTTGGGTATTATAACAGGTCACTGTATTTTTTTATAGTATCTCACTGTATATCCATCTGGGCCCGGACTTTTCCCCGTCGGAGTGTCCTTTAATGCTCTTATTATTTCTTCCTGTGTAATTTCCAAGTCAAGGGAATTCAGTTGATCATACTTTAACTTCGGTAAACCTGCATTTTTTAAATATTCCCTTCTTTTTCTCTCTTCTCTCATTTCCATTTATATTTACTGGGTCTTGGGAGGCGATATTATATAGCTTGCTGTAATATTCTTTAAACACCTCGATGATCTCTTTAGTAGAGTAAACCATTTCCCCCTTGGGGTTTTTTATTTTCTCAATATAATTTCTATTTTTTTTTTTCCTCAAAGCTCTCATTAAATATTTTCCTGGTTTATCTCCCATTTATATCTCTCACTTGCAACTTT